AACCCCCAAATCTCTTTACGCTAAGCCAGAGAAAAACCCCATCTAAGTGGGATGGGGAACGTGTATCACCAGGAAGCCTCAGGTAGGGGACAGCTTTTCATTCAGGGTGGGAAAAAGGAGTCCATGAAGCACGAGGACTCCTGGATCAATGCTTCAGGACAGATCAAGTAATCTGGGAATCATGATCACTCAGGCATTATCTGGGGAGTAAGGAGATCAGAGCAGGCCCTGGACCAGAGCTACTCTGGTATTTTATAGCAAAAGGAGGGATTCAGGCAGGCAGGTATAATTTGGTTTCCACCTCTGAGGTCACAGGCAGGGGCCAGCCAATTAGCTAGGAAACTAGAAGTTTCTAGTCCACAATATTCCAAGTACAGAAATGTCCAGGGTAGGTATGATTCCAGAAATGGAGCAGAAAAGGAAGCACCAGAAAGGAATAGCCTGTTGGACAGAGAAAGATTAAGCCAGGAAGACCAAAGGCCTGTCCAGACTAAACAGCATCTCTCTTAGCCTAACCTATTATAAACTAATCTATAACCTATTAAATACCCTTTACAGATGGTAAGTATGCAAGCTGCTTTATATCTTCAGAGGTGAAGAGGTAAGAAACCAGCAGTGGAGGGAAGAGTTACATTTCTGGCCCATTTCGTTTGCAGTAAATTAAACAAAGTATTACTTTTGTCATTCTGTATATTGTCTTTCCTTTCTGTCATTCTGTATATTGTCTCTCCTTTCAAAATTGGTCACTGCTCTATAGGCCCCATGCTGTCACCCTGTGGAAAAACATAAACTGCCACACAGGCTGTGTTGTACTGCTTCAGGCCACAAATATAATGGATGCCTGCTCAACTCTGCTTCCCTTCACTGAGGATCTTGGATAGCAATTATGATCCCCTCCTGGTATTCTCTCAACCAGGGATAGCACAGAATACAGCTTTATTCACAAGCAGAAATCTCTGTAGAACATAAAGCGCCATCAGGTGTTATTGGGGATGACTTCTTGGCATTCTGGCTAAGATCAAGTGACATGTTATTGGGTACTTGGGACCAACTGCTGGTGGTTAATGGAAGGAAAACATTAACAAGAAGTTAACAAATGCTGTTAACAGTGATTGTCCCACGCTTTCAATGTGCTTCAGGGACGAAAATTAGAGAATGCAGGGGGCTTAACCTAAAGGGGGCTGTGAAAGAAAATCAGGAAAAGCAGAGATGAAGAGGAGGCAAGGAAAACAGGGGGACTAAGAGAATAAGAAGGAAAACAGACATTATTTTCCCTCAACTAAAAAAATACTTGTCAGAATTTTAAAAAATTTTAATCAGAATTGGAACAATGGAGATGCATATATCACAATGCCAGAAGAAACTCTGAATACTTAAATTTAATAAAGAAAACTGAGGGGGAAAAATTTTTCTTTTTAATCATCAGTAACATAATTGGAAAACCACTGGATATGTAGCCAAAGGCATGTGTTCAAGCCTCATTTGGTCACTGCTCTGATCTCTATCTCTCCTCTCTGGGCCTCAGCTTCCTCACCAATAAAATAAGGGACATGGGTTAAATGACCTTAAAAGCATATCCAGCTCTAAGATTTGATCATTTGCTTTACATAAAAAGACTATTACTCTGCTCTCAAAATGTAACTCTACTCACTATTGGTGGAGTTATGAATTAATCCAATCATTTTGGAAAGCAATTTGGAATAATACAGAGAAAGAAACTACAATGTCAATACCCAATGTTTCAGAGATTCTACTGCTAATGATATACCCCCAAGAAGGTCCATGACAAAAAGAAAGGTCCCACGCACACCACAATATAATAGCAAAAAGCTGGAAACAAAGTAGGTGTCCACCATCTGAGGAATGGCTGACAAGTTATGGTACATTAATGTAATGGAAGATTACTATGCTGTAAGAATGATGACTATGGTCAATGCAAAGAAGCATGTAAAGACATAGAGGAAATAATGGAAAACGAAGTAAGCAGAACCAGAAAACTAAAATACACAATGACGAAAATGTAAATGGAAAGAACAACATCAAAACAATCTAAACTGAATGCTGAGAAATTATGATGACAAGCCTGGCCCCAAAGCAGAGAAATAAGAAGACACCCCTCCCCACTTTCTCAAAGAGGTGGGTGACTATGGGTATGGTACACTGTATACGATAGTGTCAACCCTTGGAGTATACTGGTTAGTTTTGCTGAATTGGGTTTTTTTACTCTTTTTCATTCTTCATTATAAAGAATGGCCCTTTGGGTAGAGGAAGATGGAGAGATACACTGGAAAATGTAAGTGATACAAAACCAAAAGATATCAATAAAAACGTTTATTTAAAAATTCAAAAAAAAATTAGAAGTATTTGATTTGGGAGAAATGGACTGGCAATATTTCACATGAAAAAGATCTAAGGATTTTAGCTGATAAAATTGAATAAATCAACAATATGACACAGTTGTTAATAATGATAATAAACTCACACACATACAAATGCAACTCCATTAAATGACAGGTCAGTATGCGTAAAGAAACAGTACCAACATTACCACGTGTGCAATCCTTTTTTTTTGGTGAGACAACTGGAGTTAAGTGACTTGCCCAGGGTCACACAGCTAGTAAGTATCAAGTGTCTGAGGTCAGATGTGAACTCAGGTCCTCCTGACTCCAAGGCTGGTGCTCTATCCACTGCACTACCCCGCTGCCCCTTATGTGTGCAATCTTATCGCTGTCATTGGGGATTATATTTGAAAAAGGACTATAATCTCCTATGATGTTTGAACGGCCAATTTATAAGCCTAACACCTATAGCAATAAAAGTCAACTCAATAAATACTATGTGCAGGACTCTGTGGTACTGTTGGAGATGCTGACACCATGGAACTTATCGTGTAATACGGGAATATGATAGATACATTAATAGGCAGTACGTATTATGTAAAAAGGCATAAGCAAAATGACATTTCAAGTCTGAGGGGAATCAGGGAAGATCTTCTGGAGGGATGGCATCTGAATTAAAATTTAAACAACAGGTGAAAGGCATTCTAAGCACTGAGAACAGTGTGAAAGCATGACATTTGTGTGAGAAAACTGCAAATACTGTACTCTTATTGGTCCAGATTGTGAGATATGTGGAAGAGAGTACTATGAGGAAGAGAGAATCACAGGATCATAGGGTCAGAGCTGGAAGGGCCTTGGCAAGTCACTGAGTCTACTCCCTCATTTTACAAATGTGGAAACTGAGGTACAAAAGTATTAAGTTACTTGCCCAGCTGACATGTGTCTGAGGCAGGATTTTTTTTTTAGTATTTTTATAGGCTGTTTAAAAAAAATTAATTTACTTTTAGTTTTCAACAGTCACTTCCATAAGCTTTTGAGTCTCAAATTTTCTCCCCCTCCCTCCCTCCTCAAGACAGCATGTAATCTGATACAGGCTCTACATATACTTTCTTATTAAACATATTCTCACATTAGTCATGTTGTTAAGAACCAATAAGAGGAACTACAACAAAGAGGAAACAAAACAAAACAGAAGAAAAAAAAGAGCAAATCATATGCTTCGATCTGCATTCAAACTCCATAGTTCTTTCTCTGGATGTGAACAGCATTTCCCACCATGAGACTTTTGGAGATGTCTTAGATCCTTGCGTTGCTGAGAAGGGCTAAGTCTATTACAGTTAGTGATTGCACAGCATGGCTGTTACTGTGTACAATGTTCTCCTGGTTCTGCTCACTTCACTCAGTATCGGTCCATACAAGTCTCTACACGTTTTTCTGAAGTCTGCTTGCTCATCATTTCTTATAGCACTAGTATTCTATTACATTCATATACCACAACTTGTTCAGCCATTCCCCAACTGATGGGCATCCTCTCAATTTACAATTCTTTGTGAGGCAGGATTTAAAATCAGCTCTTCCTAACTCCAAGACTAGGGCTTTTTCTTCTAAACCATGCTGCAGTGTGATAAGTTAGACTGAATCCCAACTTAAGGTATTTTAACTTTATTCCTTAAGAAGCTGATGTGCTGCAGGGTTCTGAGGCCAGGAATGACATTTCTTATGTATAGCTCTTGTCATAGATTAGGCTACAGTGCATAGGATGGATTAGAAATGATGGAAATGTCCTTCAGTACTCTAACTGCATTGTAGTTTTAAAGAGGAAAAGAAGATAGAAAGAAGCACATGCAAAACAAAGAAAAAAAGAAATATACATATATATGGTTGGGGTTTTTTTAAACAAGTTATAGGGCACAACCAAGATGGTTGAGTAAAGGCAGGGACTTGTCTAAGATTTCCTAAATTCCCCTCCCAACAACTTTAAACTAACACCTCAAAACGAATTCTGGAGTGGCAGGATCAACAAAAGGATAGGGTGAAACAATTTTCCACCCCAGGACAATTTAGAAGGTCAGCAGGAAAGGTCTATTTCACTAGGGTGAGAGTGGAGATCGGCCTAGTGTGGGCCACAACCTGACAAGCCAGCAGCATGCCGTGGGAGTGACTGAATCAGCAGCAGCAGCTTCTGGCGTCCTCAGCCCACAAACAGTAAGGGGATCAGAGAACTGGTCAGAAGGAAATTACAGTTGACCCTCTGCTGGCACTGGGAGCAGGATTCTGCTGCACTGCCCATATAGTTTCAGGTCATGGTCCCAGGGTGAAGAGAAACACTGTGACCACAGTTCCAAGGCAGAAAAGAGTGTTTGTGGTCACTCACAGACCACAGCACAAGCCAGGAGGGAAATGACCACACCTCTCCTCAGATCATACCACCTTGAACAAACTGAAAACTTACTGACCTCTAGAGCTACCTCCGAAAACAGGAATATAAAAAACCTGATGCTCGGGACAATGCCCCCTCTACCTCAGGAGCAGAGTCCAACTTCAACATAAAAGTTAAAAGTCAAGAAACAGACAGAAAAATGAGCAAACAGAAAAAGAACCTGACCACAGAAAGTTACTATGGTGACAGAGAAGCTCAAAACACAAAGACGACAACAAAGTCAAAACAGCTACAACCAAAGCCTAAAGGAAAAATGTGAATTGGTCTCACACCCAAGAGAAATTCCTGGAAGAGGGGCAGGTAGGTGGCACAGTGGATAGAGCACCAGCCCTAGAGTCAGGAGGGCCTGAGTTCAAATCCGGCCTTGGATACTTGACACTTACTAGTTGTGTGACCCTGGGCGAGTCACTTAACCCCATTGCCTAGCAAAAAAAGAAAAACAACAACAACAAAAAAGAATTCCTGGAAGAGCCAGAAAGGATTTAAAAATCAAATAAGAGACACAGAGGAAAACCTGGAAAAATCAATGAGAATGATGCAAGATTATGAAAAAGAGTTAACAAATGGGTAACAGAGGCACAAAAAAAAAATTAGGGAAGAAAATAACATCTCAAAAAACAGTCTAATCTCCAAAAGTCTCATGCTGGAAAAAGCTATCCACATCTAGAGAAAGAACTATGGAGTATGAATGCAGATCAAAACATACTATTTGCTCTTTTTTTTCTTCCATTTTGTTTCTTTTTTTGTTTTTTTGTGGTTCCTCCTATTGGTTCTAGTTATTCTTTAAAACATGACTAATGTGAAAATATGTTTAACAGAAAAGTAATGTAGAGCCTATATCAGATTGCATTCTGTCTTGGGGAGGGAGGTGAAGAGGGAATGGGAGAAAATTTAAAACTCAAAATCTTATGGAAGTGAATGTTAAAAACTAAAGTAAATTAATTTAAGAAAAAGAAAAAGAAAAAAACGGTCTAAGGGGCAGCTAGGTGGAGCTGGAATAGAGCACTGGCCCTGGAATCAGGAGGCACAGAGTTCAAATCTAGCCTCAGCCACTTACTAGCTGTGTGACCCTAGGCAAGTCACTTAACCCCAACTGTCCCCCCAAAAAAAGAGAGACTAGGTCAAATGGTAACAGAATCACAAGAATCCACTGAAGAGAACTCCTTCAAAAGCAGAATTGGGAGTAAAAGATGTACAAAAATTCACTGGAGAAAAGAACTCCTTAAAAAGTAGAACTGGCTAAATGGAAAAGGAGATAGAAAATAATTCCTTAAAAATTAGAATTGGGTAAGTGGAAGCTAATGACTTCATGAGACATCAAGAAACAGAAAATGGAAGAAAATGTGAAATATCTCAATGGAAAACAGACTGAGGAGAGATAATTTAAGAATTATTTGACTTCCTGAAAGTCATGATCAAAAAAAGAACATAAATATCTTTCAAGAAATTTTCAAGGAAAACTGCCTGGATACCCCAGAACAAGAGGGTAAAACAGAAATTGAAAGAATCCACCAATTACCTCCTGAAAGAGATCCCAAAATGAAAACTCCCAGGAATATTATAACCAAATTTCTGAGCTCCCAGGTCAAGTAGAAAATATTGAAAGTAGCCAGAAAGAAATAATTCAAATATCTTGGAGCCACAGTCAAAAGATTTAGCAGCTTTTACATTAAAAGATCAAAGGGTTTGTAATATGATATTTCAGAGAGCAAAGGAGCTAGAATTACAACCAAGAGTCACCAAGCCATTAAAACTGAGCATAGAGGCAGCTAAGTGGTGCAGTAGATAGAGCACCGGCCCTGAAATCAGGAGGACCTGAGTTCAAATCTGGCCTCAGACCAAACATTTGACACTTACTAGCTTTGTGACCCTGAGCAAGTCACTTAACCCCAACTGCCAAAAACCAAACCAAACCAAAAACTGAGTATAATCCTTCAGGGGTAAAAAATGGATATTTAATTAAAGGACATTCAAGCATTCCTGATGAAAAGACCAGAGCTGAATAGAAAATCTGACTTTCAAATACAAGATTCAAGAAATGCATGAAAAGATAAACAGGAAAGAGAAATCATAAGGGATTCAACAGGGTTAAACTGTTTACATTCTTACATGGGAGGATGATACTTGTAACTCCTAAGAACTTTATCATTATTAGGTCAGTTAGAAGGAGTCTACATAGAGAGTCTACATAGGTATAAGTTGACTATGACGAGATAATATCTAACATAATAAAATTAAGGTGCAGTAAGAAAGAAAGATGACTGATGGGATGATATCTAAAAAAAATAATATTAAGGGGTGAGAAAGAGGGATGCGCTGGGAGAAGGGAGAAGGGAGAGGTAGAATGGGGTAAATTATCTTATATAAAAGAAGTGCAAAAGAGCTTTTATAGTAAAGGGGGAAATGGGAAGGGGGAATGCTTGAACCTTACTGTCATCAGAATTGACTCAAAGAGGGAACTACACGTAGAAGGGGAAGAGGTGGTATTGATAGAAGGAGAGTGGATTGAGGAAGGCAGTGATCAGAAGTAAAACATTTCTGAGGAGGGACAGGGTGAAAGGGGGGAGAGAGAGAGAGGGAGAGGGAGGGGGAGAGAGAGAAAAAGAGAGAGAGAGAGAGAGCGAAGGACATACAGGGGGAAGAAATAAGATGAAGGGAAATACACAGTAATCATAAGTGAAAAATTTTTTACAGCAAATGTTTCTGATAAAAGCCTTATTTCTCAAATATACAGAAAACTGAGTCAAATTTATAAGAATATAAGCCATTCCCCAATTGATAAATGGTCAAAGAATATGAAAAGGCAGTTTTCAGATGAAGAAATCAAAGCTATCTATAGTCATATGAAAAAATGCTCTAAATTACTACTGATTGAAGAAATGCCAATTAAAACAAGTCTGAGATACCACTTCACACCTATCAGATTGGCTAATATGACAGAAAAGAAAAATGACAAATGTTGGGAGGGAATGTGGGAAATTGGGACACTAAAGCACTGTTGGTGGAGTTGTGAACTGATTCAACCATTCTGGAAAGCTATTTGGAACTGCCCAAATATAAAATCATGTATACCCTTTGACCCAGCAATACTACTACTGGTCTGTATCCCAAAAAGATTTTTTGCTTGTTTGTTTTTTGGGTTGGTTTTTTTTTTTTGCTTTTTAGTGAGGGAATCAGGGTTAAGTGACTTGCCCAGGGTCACACAGCTAGTAAGTGTCAAGTGACTGAGGCCGCATTTGAGCTCGGGTCTTCCTGATTCCAAGTCCGGAGCTCTATCCCCTCCCAAAAAGATTTTTTAAAAAAGAGGAAATGTAAAAAAATACTCATAGCAGTTCTTTTTCTGGTGACAAAGAATTAGAAATCAAGGCAATGGTTATTAATTGGGAAATGGCTGAACAAGGTATATGACTGTGGTAGAATATTATTGTGCTATAAAAAATGACGAGTAGGATGCTTTCAGAAAAACCATGGACGACTTTCATGAACTGATACAAAGTGAAATGTTTGGAACCAGGAGAACAGTGTGCACAGTAACAGCAATACTGTATGATGATCAACTATGAAAGACTTGCTACTCTCAGCAATGCAATGATCTGACAAGTCCAAAGGATTTACAATGAAAAATGCTATCCACCTCCAAAGAAAGAAAGATGGAGGCCGAAGGCAGATCGAAGCATACTCTTTTGCCTTATTTTTCTTGGTTTCCTTTCACAACATGACCAATGTGGAAATATGTTTTGCACGACTGCACACATATAACCTTTATCAAATTGCCTGCCTTCCCAATGAAGGTGACAGAGGGAGAGAATTTGGAATACAAAACATTTTTTAAAGAATTTTTTAAAATTGTTTTTACATGTAACTGGGAAACAAAATTAAAAAAAAAAACCCAAAACCCAAAACAAAACCAAAACAGGTTACAAAAAATTTAAGGGGAAAAAATGCAAAGGTTAATTGCTCCCTTGTTTAAAATCAGCAAATTTTAAAAGTCCTTTCTGGTTATCCAAGTCATAATTTTAAATTAATAGGGACACATCTATTTCTGCAGCTTGTTATATCAACTGTGAAGGAAAATAGCAGGAAGGGCTGCTTTACACATACCCCTCTGAACTCCATTTTCACAAGGACATGTTACCTCTCCTCACCCAGGGACAGGATTTTGTGCTCCCAATTCAGTTTGTGAGGTGAAAATCACCCTCAAGAGGAGAGATGAAATGAGTCATTCTGTTAAACAGTAATCCTCCCAGCCCCCACATGCAGCTAAGTTCCCGGAATCTTGAACACCAGCTTCTCTACAAAACAACATGAACCCAACTTAAAGCTGGCTTGGCTTGCCAGGCAATTGGAAAACCAAAAACACTCATTTTAGGAATCTCCATTGATTGCCACTAAATAAGGACATTAGTTTGTTAACAAATCGTTTTTCCTATGCTGCCACTCAATATCAACTAAAAAGTACAGGAAAGTCTCAAACTTATTAAATTAATGGAGTCTCAAGCATCAGAAAAGAGGTCGCAAAAATAAATGAACTTACCTTTTCCATCTGTTGCTGAGGCTTCTTGTAAATGTCTTATTGACCTAAAAATAAATATTCAGTGAGCACAAGTTAACTCATGAATTTACATTTCTTTTCTCAGGCTCTGCCATTAACTATAATTTGGGGCAATTTCTTTAATGTTTCTGGACCTCAAATACATAATCTTCAAAATAAAGTGAGAGTGGATCAAATGGTCTTTAAAGAAAGGCTGGATTTGAAATCAGAATTCCAGAACTGGAAGGGACCTCTGAGACCGTCTAATACAAGTCAAATGTGAACACAAATTTCCTCTACTACATATGTGACAGTTATTGTCCAGCTGTTGTCTGAAGCCTCTACTGAGGACAAAGCCATTAACCAGAAGCAGCCCAATTCACTTTTGGAGAGCTCTATGCATTGGGAAGTTTTTCTTTATATGAAGCCTAAATCTGACTCTTAGCAATTTCTTTCCTTGGCTCCTAATTCTGACCACTGGGAACAAATCAAAACCTCCTAATTACCCCTTCAAATATTGTTTAATTTTTTGTTTTTTTAAAGGGGTATGGAGTAGCATGTGTGTATGATGAAGGCCCTCTTGATGAAAGGGAAGTGGAAGGAAATAAGCATTTATGCAGTAACTTCTACATTCCAGGTACTGTGGTAAGGGCTTTTATTTCATTTGATCCTCACAACAACACTGTGATGTAGGCACTGTTATTATCTTCATTTTACAATTAAGGAAACTGGGGCAAACAGACATTAAGTTACTTGCCTGGGTCACACAGCTAGGCTGTATCTGAGTTCAGTCTTGAACTCAGGTCTTCCTGACTCCAGGCCTAGGGCTCTATCCTTTAAACCACTTAGCTGCCTCTGGACACTGTCTGGATGCCAGTGTTGCCTATGGATATCCATCAGATATATTCTTATTTTTTCTTTAAAAAAATGGTTTTATTGATGCGTTTTGTTTATGCATTAGCCATTTCTGGATATATCCATATTGTAGGCCAAGCTTCTAGCAAGTTCACTGTTTTAAATTCAATAAGCATGTGTGAGACAAAAAACATAGTTAAAACAACTTTACTATGACAGAATTAAAGAGAACAAGACTCCAAAATTAAAAGGATATAAAGTACTATGTCCACAGTCACCACAGCAAAGAATAAGCTGGAATAGGAAGACTTTCAATAGCTTCAGTGAAGACATCTAACTGCATTCCCCCAAGCCTTTTTCTATTTCAAACTTCCAAGTGTATAAAAGCCCTCCCTGATGATAGCCAAGCTCCAACCACAAACCTCCCTCCCCTGCCTAGGGAACAAAGAAAAAGAATAAAGCAAAACTAACTGACAGATTCAGAAAATCTAATAGCATATATAACACTGCACCCAAGTCTTCCACTTTTCCAAGAAAGCTTCCTATCTCTTCTCAGGGGACAAGACTGGTCACTGCCACTACACAGTATTCAACAGCCTCTCAAGCTGTTGAACACAACTATCAGGTTTCCCACTCAAAAGTCTTTCCTTCTGGATGATAAACATTTCTATTCCCTTCAACCAATCCTCACATAGCATGACTCTGAAACCCTTTACCATGATGGCTGCCCTCTTCTGCACACTCTCCAACTTAGAAATGTTACTGCTAATAAGGCTCCTGAAAATTAACGCTGCAAATATGATCTGACTAGGGGAGACAGAGTTCAATAGGATATCACCTCCCTTGTTCTGGACTTTCTATTGGTCTTAACAGAACCTAGATTGCATTTACTTTTGTTGGCTATATACTCTATCACATTGTTCACTTATACTGAGTTTGCAGGCAAAAACCTCATGTAACTTTCAGATGAACTGTTGTGTAGCCAGGCCTCTCTCATCTTATACTTGTGAAGCTGATTGTTTTTAACCCAAGGCTAAAACTACTTAATACTACTAAATTTTATCTTATTAGATTTGACACAATGATCTAAATGGTCACGATCTTTTTGGACCTAACTGTCTATCCAATGTGTTAGCTATCTCTTCAACTTTTTGTCCTCTGAAAATGTGATAAACATGCCATTCCATACCATTATCCAAGTCACTGATAAAAATGTTAAACAGCGTCCATGGGGTTGTGGGGCACCAGAAAACAGAATTCCTTCAAAGAGAATTCTAACCATTAAACAACCAGACTTTTTGGTTCTCGCCATTAAACCAGGTCTGAACCCACTGAAATGAACTGCCACTGAAGTCACACATCTCCAGTATGAAAGACTTCCCTAAAATCTGGGCAAACTGCATCTATCTACATTCTTCTAATTCAGAGCCAACAAAATAGAGTCTAAGGGCCAAATCCAGTGGCTGCCTAACTTTATTTAAAAACGGAAAAGAAAATTCTTCATTTAAAAATAGGCTGCAGACCATACTTTGCTGAACCCAATTATGATTTTTTAAAAGTTTTATTTATGCTTTTCTATTTTTTACACAAAAGTTACCTAACATAACAACCATATCTACCAAGAGGACAAACTTGTGTTTCATCTCCTATGTCTTAGAATCAAGGTCAATCATTGCTTTTAATCTGAGTTTAGCTGCCTTTTGATACCAAAGAATATAAATAGTTTAGTATTTTTCTTATAAAATTCCAAATAGTTTTCCAGAACAACTGGATTAATTCACACCTCCAACAGTGCATTAATGTGCTTTTCTTTCCATGGCCCGCTAACACTATTTTCCATCTTGTATCATTCATGTAATCTGATGTTTTATTTTGCATTTCTCTTAATAGTAGGGACTTCTACCATTTTTTCCATACAGCATTTCTCCTTCTGAAAACTAATATCCTTCAATTGCTTACCTATTGGGGAATGGCTCATAGTCTAACATTTTTATGTCATTCCCTGTATGCCTTGGATATTAGACTTTTTTTTTTTTGGTGAGGCATTTGGGGTTAAGTGACTTGCCCAGAGTCACACAGTTAGTGAGGTTATGTGTCTTGAGGCCAGATTTGAACTCAGGTCTTCCTGACTCCAGGGCTGCTCTATCCACTGCGCCACCTAGCTGCCCCAGATGTTTGACTTTTATCAAAGACATGTGATGCAAAGATTTTTCCCCTACTTAACAGTTTCTCTTCTTGTTCTTGCTGCATTGATTTTGTTCAAACAAAAGCTTTAATAATTTTATACGATAAAAACTACCTGTTTTGTCATTTATAAGGAATCAATAAATTTACAATCATTTATTAAGTGCTTACTATGTGCCTGGCACTTTGCTAGGTTCTGGGAAAACAAAGATAAAATACAATTCTTGTCCTTAAGCAACTTATATATTGTCAACAGAGAGACAACATACATATGAAATAAATACAAAGTAAATTTGGGGTTGGAAAGGACACTAGTGAATAGGCGGTAAAGAAAGGCTTCATATAGAAGGCATCCCTTATTTGGTTATGAATTCTTCCCCTAGACATAATTTGGAAAAGTACCTCCTATCATTCTCTGCTAATTTTTTAAATGACATGACCTTTCACATTTAGGTCAATTATCAGAAGCTTACATAGACACAAGGTACTAGTCTAAACCTATTTTCTGCCAAAATGCTTTCCAGTTTTCCCAGCAGTTCATGTCAAATGTGGACTCTTTTTCATGGTAGTTGGTGTTTTTAGGTTTAGTAATCATTGCGCTACTATGTTGTTTGATTCTGAGTCTTTCTTGTCTAACTTGTTTCACTGACCTATTTTTCCTATTTTAAAAACGAATACCAAATACTTTTCATGATTGCTAACATATAATTTGCAACCTAGTAATGCTAGGCCCTTTTTTTCCTAACTTTTTGTCATTATTTTCCTTAGGATTCACTATTCTTCCAAATAAATTTTGTTAGTATTTTGCCAAATTCCATAAAGTAAACAATTGGTAATTTGACTGATGTCACTAAAACCATAAATTATTTTAGTTAGCATTGTCATATTTATTAGATTGGCATAAACCAAGGAAATGTTTCTCTAATCATTGAAGCCTTCTTTGATTTCTATAAAAAGTATATTGTAGTTGTATCTATATATGTCCTGATTATGTCTTAATAGGATCACTGGAGTACAGATTTAGAGCTCAAAGGAACCTTAAAAATAATCTAGTCTAATCCTATCATTTTAAAGATGAGAAACTTTAAATTCACTGCAATATTTTACCAAATACAGTGCCTTAGGGTGAGTGACATGGAGATGCCCTCTGCTGGTTGGTTAGGAGAGTCAGCAATTGACCATTTGGCCCTGCTTAACGGTGAAGAGAAAATTCTGCCAAGAGCTGGATGTGATTAAAAAACAAACAAATAAACGTCAGAGACTATAATCAATTAACAGCCTGTTGATAAAAGGTGACCTTAAGATAATCTAACATTTACCAGTGGGGAGAATAAGTCATCATAGCTCATATCCAAGCTGGACATGTTAAGTAGTGACAGAAGCTACCCCAAAGCAAAGCCTGATGGTTTATTAACCAGATAATGTCTTAGTACTATATTTTTTTCACAGTCAGAATTTCACTAATCTGAGATTTTAACTCATTTCCTAATGATGTCTTAGTAGCTATCTGATTCACTTCTATTCACCTGCACCTAATTTTTATAATTAAACTTTAAATTAAATTTACCAGTATGGTACTTATTATATGATACCTAATGGTAATTATTTCTAATTAGACTAGGTCTTGTTTTTTGGGTTTTTTTGAATTACGGTCTCTACACTGCTGGCACCCTTCACTTACACAAAGAACAGAGTAGAGTAAATGGTTTTATGATAACACCAATTCTTTAGCATTTAGTGATTCCACCCATTGGGTCCTCCCTCCCCCAATTTCATAGCATTTTTGAGACGTAACATGTTATAATGCAGCAGTGTCAAACTCAAACAGAAATGAATCCATATGGGCTGCATATTGACTTAGAAAACCCCAAATTAACATTGTCTACACTGTGGTTTTATTTATTTTTTAAAACATTTTACAATCACATTTTAATCTGGTTCTGGCAGCACTGGGAGTGTTTTCTTCTGTGAGTTTCATACCTCTAGTGCAGCAGATGTGAAGCAGCCAAGAAACCCTGGATTTAAGACCTACTTCTACCATATCCTGGCTGTGTGACTTGAGCAAGTCAATGAACCTCTCAGTGCGCCAAGCAGCCCTCTGAGACTATAAGCAGCTGAAGAGTCGCACGTATACATTAGTAGAAAGAATTCCCTCACTGGGAGTTCTCTACACCTATGAAATCATAGAGTTAGAGCAAAACAAACAAACAAAAACCTAAAGAAAAAAATAATTTCCAGTGTGTTTATTTAAAAGAAAGAAAAATTTTAATCTAGCAGTAAGAAATTTATTTCTCTAACTCCATGGCTCCTTCCTGGGACCCTCCCACTTGAGGGATTCCTGGCTGTGCAAATGAAGCCAGGTAGACAAGTAAATAAACAAATCTCTCTGTGACTTTAAGGGCCCAGAATCAGTACTCAAATCTAAGTATGTGTTAAGATAACAATAAAAGGTGCAAATTATATAACACTTTAAAACTTACAAAACATTCTGCGCTGATTCATACACTCTTTCATATTTGTCTTTGGAATTAACAGAAATCTTTCAAAAGGGAGATTGGCTGGGGATTAGGGTGCAGGCCAGGCCCATGCAACACAATG